GGAAGGATGAAAATGTAGTTCTCCAGCAGTTGGGCTGTAACTCACATCATCCCCCACCAGCACTGGCTATGCTGGCTGGAAGTGATGGGAGTTGCAATCCATTACCTGAAGGGCCATATACTTCCCAGTTGTAGTACATGAAGTGGGACCTCTATTTCACTTGTTTAGCTTAGATAGTTGTTCTCCCATTATATTATTCTAAGACATAAGCATTATTATAATGCCTGCATTCTGTGGCACTGAATGAAAATGAACCCACACTTGCCATTTCATATTCATGCCTTCACAGATTCAAAACTAGGCTAGGTAAACTAACGATGATTACATTTTTCCTCTCTTTTGTTATCACTGTTTTGTTCTTCACACTGCATCTGCCCCTGCAAAGATTGAGAAGTCCGAGGGATGGAGAACCTACCCAAGTTGGGAGAAACTCTCTGGCATCTCCATTTACTTACAGATATACAAGTTGAAAGTCGACAAAGACACAATTGAAATCCGCTGTGGGCAAACTGAAATCTCTTGGCAGACAGCCAACATGCCCAATATGTTTATGGAGCCCAAATTCAGCTTTCTGTGTATCTTTTTGTGTGTCCAACTCAAATGTCAGTCTTCCTTCAGACAGAAACATGTAGATTACCTTGTCCTTAGTTAGAAAAGGTCTGTCTTTTGTCAATTTTCTCATATTTCCTAGCCATTCAGAAGGAAAGTGATCTAACATTAATTCCACTGAAACACATGATTGAGCTATTGATACTTTATTTTTGACACATTCAATGTTTTGGTGTATTGTCACCACAAGGTAATCCATAGTGATGATAGCTATACTGTATTCACATAACGTTGATAAAGATTAATAAAATGGTTATTTCTCAAGCTATGAGTTAAGAGACAGGGACAAGGATGTGGCAAAAAAGTATAAACAAGATCTGGGATAGGGAGTATCAGAGTGGAGAGGTTAAAAGGCCCCCTGTAAGTTGCCCTATTCTAACTCTCCAAATCAGAGTAACGTAATTATCCAAATCAAACAACATTACTTGTTGCACTCCTTTTCTACCAATACAGTGGATCCTCGACTTACAGACGGCTCGACTTACAGACTTTTCGAGTTACAGACTTCTCTGGCCGCAAAATTTAGATTCGACTTGCAGCCGGAGAATTGACTTACAGACCAGAAAAAACCCAAAATGGAACAAAACTAGAATAAAAACTGCCAGTTATGGGATTAATCGGTTTTCAATGCATTGTAGGTCAATGGAGATTCGACCTACAGACTTTTCGACTTGCAGCCACCGTTCTAATACGGATTAATTCCGTAAGTAGAGGGTCCACTGTATAGTTTAGCTTTGGCACAATTTGTATAGTAGATTGTTAGAATGTTGACTGAAAGAGAGAGAGTCAAGTTGAAATCCCTGCTTAGTCATAAAGCTTATTGGGTGTTCTTGGGCCAACCTCTCACCCAAACTTACTTTGCAGGATTGTTTTCAGCTCCGGAAGAGGAAAGCAGAGGGTTGTAAAATAGTTGCTGGGGCAAGTAAATTTAAAAAAAAATGGAGCTTCTGCTGATATTCTCCCAACGTGAGTGTCTTTTTCTTCCATCAGTTTTCAGTGAAAGTGAAAATAAAAACTCTCTACAGAGGGGGAACAGGCGGGACCCCTTTGCTGTATAGGGTGTCTTTAAAAGTCAAGCTTGGATAACTTAAGTGCTATCAGTCCATGCTAATTATCCACTTGGACAGAAGCAAGGGGGACTGTTGGTTTCTGGATCCCATGCTCAGAGGTCACGGCAGTCCTATGGCTAAACAAAAGCAAGACATGTTTAGACAAGCTAATTCACGACGCTTTAAAGTGAGACTTTGCACTGTGTTCCAGGGCATATGGCTTAGTAATGAGTGGCTGGTGTTGTCCATGTGTAACAATATTTTCAATGTTCAGGCAAGCTTTTGATTAAACCTCCATCCCCTGATTGTTGCCCAAAGATGATGGTTCTTCTGGTTTTTCTAGACAAGGGGAAATTGTACCGCTGTCCCCATGTAATTCTTTATCCTGCAAGCTAGCTTTTCCTCCCAGATTTACTAGGATTCATACCCATCCCCTCACCATCCAGAAACAAAACAAAAAAAAACAGCAAAGGAGGTGGAACCACTTCTTGCTCCCTTTGTACCCAAAGGTTATTTGCCTCAAAGCTACAGCCAAGCAAGGGAGCACCATTCCCGGCTCTTGTTTATAACTACAGCCACGTATCCCTCACAACCACATGGGCCCTGCCAAGTTGAGCAGTGGCTCGGAAGCAAAAACACCCCCTCACCTCTTACCTTTCCTTCATTTCCTTGCATCTCCCCATCCCTTTTGAAAGTGTATTGCAAAGCACTGAATTTACAAGCTATTGACTGGGCACCTAACCCACTGTGTGTCATATCCAGCTCTTTACACAGCGGTGAGGGAGCACTGCTTCCCATGTCCTGCTTACACTCACCTTGCCCTCATTCCCACCCAATCCCTGCCTGGTTGAAGGAGAGGAGGAGAGGAGGAAACCAGAAGCCAGTAGCCGTCTCAGCCAGTGATGGCCCCGCAAGGAATTGAACACAGCAATACTTTCTAATTGATTGAGGAAGTGCTAATTTCCTCAGAGGGCAAGCTTCAGATAGTGAGAGAATTGTTATAGAGTAAAACTCTGTCCCCTACAACTAAGGTATAAAAAGTAATCCATTGCCTAGGGAAGGGGGGGGTGAAAGAGGAAAGAAGAAGAAGCAGTATCAAGTGGGATAATGACAAGTTGTCTGGATCTCACAAGAATTTCCTATATGATCTTTGCTTGAAAAGGCACAGAAGTCCCACCTTGAAGCATCTTAAAATAGGCCATAAGGAAAGCAATAATAAAATTATAAGGGTTTCCCAGAATTTCTCCCCATGTCAGGTAGACATTAGTTGAAATTATGTTGCTTAGCGTAGTACGTCATAACTAGAGTAGGCCCACAGTGCAGATTTAGTGACTCAGCTCCTCCATGATTTCCACTGATTCAAATGGGCCTACTCTAATTGCAACAGACTACACTAAGCGCCAGGATACCAGCCAGCATTAGAGACTGCTCGAAATGAATATTTCCCCCTTTGAGGGGTGTTCTACTTCTACCAATGCATTCCATGGAAAGGGAAGCTGCCAGGCCAAAGTCTTTATTCTTGAAGGAAATGAAACATCAAATTGTTACCCTATGGGAACTGGAAGAAGAGAAGGCCTGTGCCACGCCAATTATTTTTATTTCTCAGCGGGATCCATTAAAAACATTTAACCTCCTTTACTGACACACCATAAAGGTAGCTTCTGTCAGCCACTCAAAGCTTCCCGTTGAAATTTCAGCTACAGAGGCTCCTTCTCAAGGATTGGGAAGCACAGATATATGGTTGTTGCTCCCCATAATGATGAGAGAACTCTTTTGAAATGTTAAAATTCACATTGCATGAGCCTTACTTATCTATCTGTGCATAATTCATATACAGCTAATGTGGAATAATATATATAGAAGTAAACAGCCAGAGCAATATTTTGTTTTCAAACACATGATCCTTTAACAAAAACAACCCCCCACCAATGAATCTAAAACACCCGAAAGCACCTTGCCACTTGATCATGGATTTAAATTGCTTCATTTTTTTTCCTGGGGTACAGACATTAATAAGAATGACTACCTACTGGTAATTATGCCTTTATAGCTTCTCATATATCTCTGCCTCTAGACATTTGGCAAAGAAATTGGTATCTTATTCAGTGCAACAAGCAGTCTTCCAGGGGTTCCCTGTCCTGATTCATTGCTACCTTGATGCACTTATATAAAGAGATGGCAGCCCAGATCAGACACTTCTTCAGCTAGCATTGTGCTTTGAATGATGTGAAAGATGGGTACATACCCGCTCCTCATCTCTTTACAAGATAGGCCACATAGCATTGGCCCTCAAAGAAGAAGTCTAAGCATGTGGAAGTCTGAGTCACACAGATTTCTCCCATCATGTTCATATATGATGTTGAAAAGCCTTATTCAGCTGATTGGTACTGGGATTGAGCGGGGTGAAAGAAAATGTATGTGTGCTACAGTTTTCAGGGAGTAATCTGTGTCCTCTGAAGATGCCGGCCACAGAGACTGGTGAAATGTTAGGAAGAACAACCTTCAGAACACAGCCAAAGAGCCCGGAAAACCCACAAAAACATTAGATCCTGGCCGTGAAAGCCTTCCTGAATATATTAATCTGTGTTAGTCTGCTTTAGAACAAATACAATGTTGCAGAGTTTTGAATTTCTAGTAAAATTCCTTCTTGCTATTTTGTAGAAGTATAGAGACCCACAGAGGAGAATAGTTACAACTTCCCCAGAGTCCAACCTTCTCTCATTAACTGGCACTTAAAGTCTCAAGAACTCACCTGAGACATTTGTAGGAGAAAGAATAAAAACCATTTCTTTACTTACAGTTCCTTAAAGTTACAGGCTTGTGTATGTTGCTTCCTTTACTGTACATATATTAGCAACCAACCAGACAGATCCACAGCAAACAAACAACTGCCACTAACCAAGGACAGCGAGGGAAAGAAGCATGCAGTCTCATTTGCACTATGATAAAGGACCAAAAGCCAATCTTCAGGTTGTTATGAGGCTCTACACACAAACTGGTCTCATCAACTTGGTCTCAAGCAACAGGCTTTTTTCACCCCTGCAGTCCTCTCTCCTTGTTTTCTGAAGAGCTGACCTCTTTGCCTGCCTTATCAAATTGCTTTTAAAACTCTGTAGAGTGCTATATATTTGTGTTTCTTGTCTAATAAATAAATTTGTCCCAAATCACCCCTCTCCAATCTTCAAAGCCCCGGAAATTGCTGATTTCAGCTCTAAGAGACAAACGACATAACATTTTTGGCTTCTATCTTAGAAGGGTAAGAAATTTCAGGATGTTTTTGTACAAAAATACCAATATTCCAAGTCTCTTCTCTCCTTGTTAGTATCCTCAAGTCACCTACACCTATAATAGAAGTCGCACCTTGCGTGGTTGTACTGAAACCCAAGGTTGTTCCTTCATTTGATCTATCTGCTCCCAGACCTTGGAAAGCTCAGACCAGACTCCTTTAAGGTCTTGCAATTCTTCTAAAGCAACCTACAACGCAAGAAATTAAAATAAAAGTGGAGTTACAGGTGGCAACAGAGAATCGTAGCAGTTCTGTCAGATCAGTGTGCAAAGAACCAAGTAAGCTGCATTTTAATTATGGTTGCATAGAGACTACTACTGCTGAAGGTCATATAACCGAAATATACATTTTTATACCTGCACACGCTCTTCACTACCACTGAGAAGTCCTGTATCTGTCAGTTCCAAAGCTTCTTTGGCTTTTGCACATTTCTCTCGGTCATCTTTCAGCCTCCCAAACTTCCCTTCATAGATGGTCAGTGCCTGGAGAGCCTCCTCTGGACGTAGGTTGCCCTTAAGGAAGCAACAGTAAAATTATCATTATGTAAGATGTAATTTAGTTTTGTATCAAATTTCAGTAACCTCGTGGTGCAGTGATTAAACTGCAGTACTGCAGCCAAAACTTTGCTCATGATCTGGGTTCAGTCCCAGGTAGCAGGCTTGGCTTTCACTCAGCCTTCTAAGATCGGTAAATCTGAGTACCCAGCTTGCTGGGGGGGGGGGCAAGGTGTAGCTTGCATAATTAACTTGTAAACTGCCCAGAGAGTGCTTGAAGCACTATGGGGAGGTATATAAGCAACACGCTTTGCTTTTTTGCTTTTGCTCAAGAGTCTTCTCTAGCACCACAATTCAAAAGCATCAATTCTTCGGCAGTCAGCCTTCTTTATGGTTCAGCTCTCACTTCCATACATCACTACAGGAAAAACCATAGCTTTGACTATGCAGACTTTTGTCGGCAAGGTGATGTCTCTGCTTTTTAAGATGCTGTCGAGGTTTGTCATTGCTTTCCTCCCAAGAAGCAGGTGTCTTTTAATTTTGTGGCTGCTGACACCATCTGCAGTGATCATGGAGTCCAAGAAAGTAAAATCTGTCACTGTCACTGAAGCATACTTTGTAATAAAAGGCTTAGCAATTAATGCCTCTTTGCTTTCACTGGAGCAAATGCACCATTTCCAATAATTGCCCATTTCAGGGGCAAACATAAACGTATATGAAATAAAGAAATGTGTCTTTCAGATAAAGTTATGTTAATGGTGTCTCAAACATTGACTCCCTTTCCCCTAGCATTGCTAACCAAATAGACAGTAAGCCTATATACATTTATGATACAGATAAAACTAACGTTGATGAAAAAGAAACATGTTCTCCAGCTTGATGGAGCTCACATATATTTTTAAGCCAGCCAAAATGGATGAAATATCTGAGGGACTGAGCCCTCAAATCCTAGATTCAACAGAGATGGAATGGATTTACATGATTGCAAGTAATGGAAGGTGATACAGTTTATACCCACTCACTACTCTTTTTTTCGACCTGGAAATGTCTTCTGTCATTTCAGACATTTTTCTCCAACACACACCAAATGGCAGAAGTCCACTATTTCAGATGAAATAATGTATTCTAGTCCTCAGATTTGCAGGAGAATCAGCATAATCAGAAATAATTTGTCTCCATGGAATACACCATCAGCCATGGTTTTGGAGAGGCACATATGGCCAAATGCAGAGAATCAGAAAGCTTGATAGAGACAAAGGGACTGCTGGTTTATTTTCCAGAAGTATCTGTGTGATAGAGAACGAAACTTGCCCTGAAAATTTTGTCTTTAAGTCATGGGTATCTTGTCCATCAACGGGACCCACTTCCAAGGATATATGCAGATATTTTTCCCAGTCAGGGTAAGCATCATAATTTTATAGGTGAATAATCTATAAACGTAGCCTGTGTTACTGAAAGACACCTGTGCATGTCTGTGTATACACATCCAGCTTGATCCTAAGACCTATATCTGTTCAGCTTCCTCAAAGTGTAACTTTTAAACAGTGTTATGGGCTATTTGTTTACTTAAGCATCTGTTGACGAATCTTGCAAAAGCCCTTTCACAAAATGAATCTTTTCCTATTCACTGTTATATAACAGGCAACATTAGCAATTATACCAACAACAAAATGATCTCAATATAGAAATGGCTTGTAGAATTGCAAAGTTCAAGTGTCCTTTCGAATTCAAACGCAGACAAAAATCCAAGATATCATCCTCAACTGGGTTGCATATCCATAATATATAGAAAATCAGCTCCACATGCAGAGTTTTCAAAACCCTAGGCCAAGTTGGCAAGGGCCTCAGCAGTCTAAGTAGCAACGGCAGCTCCAGCCTCTTCAGCTCTTCCATCCACTCTTTCTGATTCAAATTTCTATTTTCGGCTCCATTCTCCCTTAGTCCCACCCCTTTGGGCTAAACCAATATTTCATAGGGTTACACAAGCAGTGGTTTCCATAAAGAAAACTCTCCTTCTACTTAGCAGCGGGATCTTGCAATCTCATGAGGTGGAACTTTGTGGCTTTACAACAACAGAAGAGGCAAGAATTGGGACGAATGTGATATTTCTCTACCACGATTTAGAATTTGCATCCTTGCAAGTGCTGAAGTCACAAGCAGCAACACATCACATTACTACGCTAGCAGTACTTTCTGTTCCATTGAAGCTCAGTAGGATACTGGTCCATGTGTCAAATGTAATGACAGCTTCCCTGTTATTTCCTGTTAGTGGGCCTAGTGTCTGAAATATATCTTCCCACAGGCATAACCTAATTTTCTTCCCCAGTCCCCTTCACCCCATGCCATGGCTCTCTATCCACTTATTACACTGCACTGCTCCTACAATCAACTTCAGAGGCCCATCCCTGCATTTCCCTATTAAAACCCAATATACTACAAGTTTGAATTTCCACCCTGGGATGACAGTACTCCAACTCCCCACAACAAAATGAGTGTAACAATACAGCCCTCCTTTTCAGGTCTGGAATAAGAGACAGATTCTTAACCAAAGCCCTGCCTCCTACAATATGGGTTTTGGTACCAAGATCTTTAGATCTCCATCCCACTGGGCTGATATTATAACTGTATTCCTAAGAGGTTCAAATTTTGCAAAACTTGTACAAGCAGCCTCCATCTGAGTGGACTGCTGGCCTCCTGAAACACAACAGAGATTCTGTGATTGGAGGGGTCACTTCTAAAGCTCTTGCTGATTTGCTGGATATGCATCTGTCTGTGTATGTTGCAATAAATAAATGTTGAATTTGGGGCAGCAAGCAACTTACCTTGTCCTCCTTGCAGACACTTTAAAAAGCATCAGAAATGCACAATGAAGGAAGAACTAACTTGTGCGTGCATCCATGAGTTTCCTTCATGCATCTGTCTGTGTATGTTGCAATAAATAAATGTTGAATTTGGGGCAGCAAGCAACTTACCTTGTCCTCCTTGCAGACACTTTAAAAAGCATCAGAAATGCACAATGAAGGAAGAACTAACTTGTGCGTGCATCCATGAGTTTCCTTCTTTCTTTTTTCCAATATATATATATATATATTTTAAAAGATCATAACAAAAACAGTACTTTAAACAATCGTCGTCGTTTAGTCATTTAGTCGTGTCTAACTCTTTGTGACCCCATGGACCAGAGCACGACAGGCCCTCCTATCTTCCACTGCCTCCCGGAGTTGTGTCAAATTCATGTTGGTTACTTCGCAGACACTGTCCAGCCATCTCATCCTCAGTCGTCCCCTTCTCCTCT